TATAGTTGTTCGCGGCTTTTGTAATTACGCAGGTTATATATATTGAAACCAAACGCCCCCCCCCCCCCCCCACCTGGTCCGTCGATTCCCCGGTCCTGGGCGGCCAACCCTTGTCCGGGAGGGCAATCAGGCAATCGTACCCGAGCGGTCGACCAGTCGGGAAGTCCACGTCTTACCTACCAGGACAACGGCCGTGGTTGGGTATGGAACTGGTAGGGCCGTCGTCTGTGCGGCGGATGGATGCAGGGAATAACTCAACTGCTGAGGTAAGCAGGAATTGTCTTGGCCCCGAGCGTTTGAGAGTGTATTAGGTAATGCGAAACGTTAGGTTAGCAGACGGGGCGTCGGATAAAAGTCGGGCGATGCTCCGTCGAGCGCCGAATTTCGCACGTGCCACATGCGTCAAAAGCGGCCGGAGCCGGACTGTGGACAGCACAGAAATGACGGGAGCGTGTCGTCGGCGTTTGGCGGGTAGCGGATAGCGGAAGAGAACATCGGTTGGCGACGGGGCAATGTGTCCGGGGGGCAAGTGAGGTGAGGTGAAGGCAGTCGATGTCTCTCCCGCCGCCGCTACCGTCACCGCTACCGACCGCCGGACGTTGGAGAGGGAGACCAGCACCTTTCTTTCTCTGGGTGCGTGAGGTAATGTGTTTTTTTTCCGTTACTAATTCCCGAACGTCATGACTTTTTTTTTCTTCCCCTTCGCGCTCTCTCATGAGTCACCTGCCGTTTGGTTCGAGAAAGGATTGTCGGGTTGCGATCTCGATGAGCCGAGCCGAAGCCAAGACGACGAAGAATATCGTTTGTTGAAATGGGGAGTGTGTTATGCGATATGGAGTCGTTCCGGATGATGAAGAGACGGGCTGCGCGTGTAACGAGCGACGGGCGGCGGGCCCCGGGACCGTGCAAGTCAAGCGGATCGAACTCTTTCTGCGGTGTTGGTCTTTCTCTCGTTTTCTTGGAGGTTTGTCGCGTCGCGTGTAGGTACTTGCAGCAACGCACGCTTCCTCCGGGCATGCGTGATAGATGGCGTCGTCGACCTGCTTTATACGGAAACCGGAAAGGACCATCAATCACTTTGCACGTCTTTCACTCTTTGAGAAGACGGGTGGATATGCGAGGCATCGGGGCATCTGGCTGATCCGCGTGAGCCTTGATGTCGTCGGCCTGTCGGCATGACCATTCGGCTTCGGAGGGCCAAGCATATAGCGGGGGTTCGGCTTCGGCTCAGGTCCAGGTCCAGTCGGTCTGCATCCTGGTTGGTCCATGAGTAGGCACTTCCCACGTTTGTTTTTTTGTCTTTATGGTTGCGGGTTGCAGAAGTCGAGAGAGAGAAAGGAAAACCACGACTAAGTGAAATAACCTCATTGGTCGGTTCCCCTTCTCCGCGGCCGAGTTTCTGAACCAAACCAAACACCGGGTTTGTCAGGACTAAACACGGCCATGCGCCTGCAACATGTGCTGCATCCTCTGGGCCGCCTGGAACCTTTTTGCTCTTGTCTTGGCTCATGATATTGAGATGCCTGACAGGCACGCACGCAGTGGGAGGAGGAGGAAGGAATGGCGTTTTGATTTATTCTTTCTCGGCGGTCATGGTTGTGTGTGGTGGGGGTTCCTTCAATTTGGGAAACGGTAGCCGGTCCGGCGGACTCATCCCCGTCTTCTCTTTAGCGATGGAAACCTGACTTGCAACCCAACGAGTGTTGCGTTGTGTGTTGTTACCCTGGTAAAAAGAGAAGGAACTGGAATCTGATGAACCCATCCCAGGCTTGAACGTCTGCTCCCGTTGCAGTTGCGTCCCATAGGGAAGCGGTGGGAAGAACTTTTTTTTTCTTTTTCTTTTCTTTCTCTCTTTTCTGTATCTTTTCTGGTCATTCTTCCAAGTCGTTTGCACACCTCTTTGGGAAAGTCGGCCACTTGCGTTTGGATGACTTGAGTCTTGCATCAAATCACCTAACCCACACCCACCTTGACACCTTCCTTCCACCTTCCACCTTGTAGTTCACGCCTTTTTTTCTTCTGACACCCACACCTTTTCGAACCGAACGAACCACCACCACACACACCCCTCCCTCCACTTCCGTTTCGCCTTGGTGCGTCCAGACCACCCCGGGGAAGGAGGGGCAACCCGAAAAACTACAAGTAAGTTGACTCTGCCCGCTCGCCACTGGGCCGCGGGAATGTGAGAGTGTGTCTGGACTGTATGTCTTACTTGGAGTTTTGACGCAAACCCCGGGTTTCTCTCTTGAGTTGTTCCTTTTCAGAGATCGAACATTAGGCAAATCATTCTTGTTTCCATCTTGGTCCGATTGTCACTTTTGTCATATTGACATCATCTCATCTAACGCTCATCCTGTCTTGAGTCTCGTCAGGAGGAGGAAGAAGAAATTTTGTAAGAAGGGGGTTCCTGTAAGAAGTTGAGAGTGAGAGATTGTTGGAAACGTTGGTGTAAGAGAGGGCTGCGAAAGGACAAACGGCAAGAAGGGACAGTCGTGATCCGAAACATACAGGAGGAAAAAGCACACACGGGGTCTGTACCAAGACAGCCAGAACCAATAACATCCTCATCCCTTCTTGTTGTCTCTCTGTTATTCCCCCCGCCCCTGCCCGTCCTACTACTACACACCCTAGATGGACCCGGAAAAGGCAGCCGACCGCCACCAGCACGGCGACGACAACCACCACATCGACAAGAACGATTACCTCCCGGCCCCGGAGCCCGACTACGGCAACTATGACTACCCGCTCCCCAGCAAGACCGAGAGCGCGGCCCACGACGGCGCCGCCGCGGCCGTCGGCAACGACCTGATCCCCTCCGTCTCCAACGCCATCGCCGGCGCCGGCGGGAACCACAACTACTACGGCAACAACAACGAGGCCACGGGAGAAAAGGGCAGCAACTACCTCAACCGCTCGCCCTCCAACGCGACCGCCACCACCGCCGCCGAGGAGGAGTCGTACCCGGAGGGCGGCCTGCGCGCGTGGTCCGTCGTCCTGGGGTCCTGGCTGGCGCTCTTTTCGGCGCTGGGCATCATGAACAGCATCGCCGTGTTCCAGACGTACGTCGCCACGCACCAGCTGCAGGGGTACCGCGAGGGCACCATCGGCTGGATCTTCTCCGTGTACACCTTCCTCTGCTTCTTCGGCGGCATCTACATCGGTCCCGTTTTCGACCGCTGGGGTCCGCGGTGGTTGGTGTTGTCGGGCACCGTGTGTCTCGTCATCGGGGTTATGCTGTTGAGCATCTGCACGTGTGAGTATCGCCGTCTGACCTCAGTCTCAGGTGATGAATGCTGACCCGTGAAACAGTCTACTGGCACTTCATGCTCGCCTTCGGCATCCTCTGCGGCCTCGGCTCCTCCCTCGTCTTCACCCCCTCCATCGCCGCCGTCGGCCACTGGTTCAAGCGCCGCCGCGGCTTCGCCACCGGCATGGCCTCCACCGGCGGCTCCATCGGCGGCATCGTCTTCCCCCTCATGATGCAGAACCTCTTCCCCCGCATCGGCTGGGGCTGGACCATCCGCGCCGTCGCCTTCATCTGCCTCCTCCTCTGCGGCGCCTCCAACTTCCTCATCCGCTCCCGCCTCCCGCCCGCCCGCAACGCCTCCCCGCACCCGGACTTCCGCATCTTCCGCTCCACCGCGTTCAGTCTCACCACCGCCGGCATCTTCCTCATGGAGTTCGCCCTCTTCATCCCGCTCACCTACATCTCCAGCTACATGCTCTCCCGCGGCTTCGGCGAGTCCTTCGCCTTCCAGATCCTCCCCATCCTCAACGCCGGCAGCGTCCTCGGCAGGGCCCTGCCCGGCTGGTGGGCCGACGTCGCGGGGCCCTTCAACAGCAACATGGCCGCCATCGTGCTCTCCGTCGTCGCGTGCCTGGGGGTGTGGCTGCCCGCGGGCGGGAGCACGGCCGGCGTCGTGGTGTTCGCCGTGCTCTTCGGCTTCGCGAGCGGCAACAACATCAGCATCTCGCCCGTGTGCGTCGGCCGGCTGTGCAAGACGCAGCACTACGGCCGCTACTACTCGACCACGTACACGTGCGTCTCGGTCGCCTGCCTCGTCGGCATCCCCATCGGCGGAGAGCTCATCACGGCCGCGGGGGGCAGTTACCACGGCCTCATCATCTTCACGGGCCTGGTGTACGTCTTGGCGCTGGCCGCGCTGCTCGCTGCGAAGATTGTGTGCGTCGGCAAGAACATCTTTGCTGTTTTCTGAGCGGAGAAAGATAGAGAGAGAAAGAGGCGGGGTTTTGATACGATACTTGACGTCTGGACACTTTTATCAGGCGAAAATATTTGAAATTGTTTCACGGTTTGAATTGGGGGATATCAAAAAGTTTTTTTTGGATTAGAGATACGACACGACGAATATGTACATAGACCACAGATTGAGCAGGTTATGTTTTTGGAATTTTCCTTTAGAATAATTAATGTAATATCATTAAACAAATGAACAACTGCGAATAAAATCATGAGAGTTCCATCCCGTTCGGTTCGTTCCCGTCGGCTGTCGGTGCCGAGCAAGTGGGATGGATGATGGACCTGACCACAAGAGGTCGCGTGCGCAAACCGCAAACCGCAAACCGCCGGCCCAGAGCCCCGATCCACCACCGACGACCCCCGTGCCCAAAATTACCCGGCAGGATCCCTCACGGAAGGAGGGTCGGGTGGGGCGCACGGGCCCCCCTCGGCCCGTGTGCGCCAGGGAAACCACCGGCCGTTTTTCTCGCTGCGAACGGGTTTAAAACCCTCTTCTTCCTCTCTTCTTTCTTATCTTTTGGACGTTTCTCATGTGCGTCATTCTCACAGCTGTCTGATTCTATTGTCGGTGAACGATTTCGACACGATTTGGCCACGCAGAACTGACCTGAAGGTCTGATATCAAAGGTGAGTCTGGGTGCGCTTGTAAGACACGTCATATCCGGAGGACCGAGGTAACGGAGATGGGGTGCGCCGAGGGGGGTGGATGCGGGTTCACGTCGTGACTTGTCCTCCGTCTCACGAGAGGTAGTCATTTCGAGGAATCGGAGATGTTCTGCTTTACTTGTACTTTTATGATCATCTATGAAGGCTCACTAACACGACCTAGATCCATCTCACTCATCCCCGCCATATCGCCGGTTACGACCCCCAGACTCATCACCACCTCACACCACACAACCTCACCACACACACACACACACACACACACACACACACACACACACACCCTCATTCAAAATGGCAACCGCAACAACAAACCCCGAAATCCAAGAAGACGCCTACTTCTCCTCCCAACCGCCCCCGCGCGCCCTCGAAACCCACGTCGCCGCCGCCCGGTCCTTCATCGCCCACCACGCCGCCATCCCCTCCCGCCGCATCGTCCTCGTCACCTCGGGCGGCACCACCGTGCCCCTCGAGAAGCAGACGGTCCGCTTCATCGACAACTTCTCCGCCGGCACCCGCGGCGCCACCTCGGCCGAGTACTTCCTCGAGGCCGGCTACGCCGTCGTCTTCCTGCACCGCCAGTTCTCGCTGCAGCCGTACTCGCGGCACTACTCGCACGCGACCGACTGCTTTCTGGATTTTCTTGCGGAAGGCGGGGAAGGCGGGGAGACGGTCGTCGCGGCCGCGGAGCACCAGGAGCGCATGCGCGCCGTGCTGAAAAAGTACCAGGCGGCCAAGAGGGGCAACATGTTGCTCATGCTGCCGTTCACGACCATCACGGATTACCTGTTCGAGCTGCGCGCCATCGCGGGGTTGTTGAGGCCGCTGGGGCCCAGGGCGCTGTTGTACCTCGCGGCCGCGGTGTCGGATTTCTTTCTCCCGCAGGATAGGATGGCGGAGCACAAGATCCAGTCGACTAATGCTACGGACTCGTTCTCGGGGGCACCTGCTCCCGCGGCGGCTGCCAAGACGAACAACGGCAGCGGCAACGGCAACGGCAACGGGACGACGGACGACGAGGAGACGTTCGACAACTTCGACTCGTCCCCGCGGGTCCCGCGCTCCAAGCGTCTCGTGATCGACCTGGACCCGGTGCCCAAGTTCCTGCAGAACCTGGTGGACGGGTGGGCGCCGCAAGGGATGGTGGTGAGCTTCAAGCTGGAGACGAACCCGGCGATCCTGGTGCACAAGGCCAAGTATTCGCTGGAGCGGTACCAGCACCACCTGGTCATCGGCAACCTGCTGTCGACGCGCAAGCACGAGGTCGTCTTCGTGGCGCCGGGCCGGCGGGACAGGTGGGTCCGGGTGCCGGGCGCGGGCGCGGCGCAGCGCGGCAGGACGGCCGAGGACGCGCCGCTCGACCCGAGCGCGCTGCCGGAGGGGGACCCGGAGGTGGAGATCGAGAGCCTGATCATCCCCGCGGTGCAGGAGTTGCATTCGAAGCATATCGAGTCGCTGCGGGAGTAGAGAGAAAAGGAGGGAATTCCTGAGGGGGAAGGGTTATGATTTTAGTTCATGGGGTGAGTGGTGTTTAGCGAGCGTTCACGTATATAACGGCATAGCGCGCATGAGTGGTAATCCAAGTTCAGAAAAAAAGGAGGCATCGAGTATAATTGTTTTGTTCTAGAAAGTATCTCCAAGCCAATTCGCTACGTGATGCTGTGATTGAAAAATAAGATTGCAACAACTTTCTTTTTGGGAATTGTCAGACACGAATTCCGCACGGCATCTATTGCCGGGAGTTGGAGAGACGCCAGGCTCTCATGGGCAGCGACTGCAGGTGGAGGACCTTGGGCCGGATGTACAGCATGAAGGTGACGACTCCGAAGACGACGCAGATGATGTTGACGAAGTAGTAACCGTCGCGCACCATGTCACACGTGCCGCCGCCGTTGACGCAGCGCTCCTTGTCGGGCTGGAGGGAGCAGGAGAAGGGGTCGGTGACGACGGGGCCCTTGAGGGCGTTGAGGTCGGCGGGGTTGCCGGGGTGGCAGGTTGCGACGGTGAAGTAGTCGACGAGGCGGAGGACGAAGAAGCGAGGGAACGTGCCGCCGAGGTTGCAGACGCTGAGATGATGTTAGTTGAGGATGTTTGTATGAGCAAGAGAGAAAACTTACGTAGCCAAGAGCGTCATGTAAGTGCCGCCAATGACGGGATCTGCGATTCTAGCGTGGAACGCGGAGACGGCGACGAACATGACCGTGTTGGTGAAGGTCGAGAAGACGTGCTCGCCGATGACGACCAGCATGTACCAAGGAGTCACTCCACCGGCCGGGAAGATGGTGACGGTGAACTGGGCGACGAGGGCAGCGACTAGACGGCCCATGAAGCCCCAGCACCACAGGCGCATGGGAGTGTACTCCTGCGACCACTTGCCGGCGTAGTAGCCAAGCGCGATCTCAAAGGGGAAGTCGATGAGCACAGTCAGAGCCATGTTCTCCTGGCCGAAGCCCTTGTCGATGAGCTTGAGGTTGGTGACAGCGTCGTTGGCCTGGAAGCCGATCTTCGCGATGAGATGGACGATGATGATGGTCTGGATGTTCTTGAGCTTCAGGACGCCCCACATGATCTTGTACACATCCCAGATGCCGTCCTCATTCTTGGTCTTCTCCTCGCGCTTGAAGAGCGACAGTCCAATGGTGATGGCAATGTAGGCCCAGCCCCAGAAGGTGAGGTAGCCGCCGAGAGACATCAGGCCTTCATCGAGAGGCGTGCTGCGGAAGTAGCGGTTGGCAAAATCCTTGGAGTTGAACGCCAAGAACACAGTGTAGGACAAGAAGTGGCCAGCAGTCAAGCCAACGGTTTGCGCGGTGGAAGCATACGAGACATTCCCGGGAGTCAAGAGAGTCAAGGCCCAGCCGTCTACAGCAATATCCTGGGTGGCGCACATGAAGACCAGGAAGAACCACCAGCCGGTGAAGTTCCAGACCGTCGGGCCGCCCGGCTTTCCAGTGTTCGCCATCATGTTCTCGACAGTCGACCCCAGCCAAAGCATTCCCAGACCCGAGAGCAGCTGGATGGGAAGAATCCAGCTCTTTCTGCGCCCTACCTTGGGGCTCCAAACGGCATCGACAATCGGGCTCCACAGGAGCTTCAGCGAGTAAGGGTACGATGCCAGACTGAAAATGCCAATCTCGCTGTACGACATGTGATCCTTCATGAGGAAGGGGACGGAGCCTCCGGCGAGACCCATGGGGACACCCTGGAGGAAGTAGAGGAGGACGAGCAGGAGGAAGTTCCGCTGGTCCTGCACGGGCAGCTCGAAGAAGCCATGGTTGTTCGCGATGGGCGTCTTCGGGACGGGATCGTCGAGGGTGAAGGATTCGCGAGACATGAGGTTCGCGGTAACGGTGTCGGAGCCGGGGGGCCCTGTCTTCCGTCGATACTCAACGTTGTTCTGGTTCATATCGCCGTTGGCGTGGCCGTTCGTGCCTTCTGTGTCTACGGCTAGATCGGCCAAAGCTTTTCGCTTGGTGGATTTGTTTCGGCGTGTTCGGACGCTCATTTGTGCTTGGGTGTCGCGGGGAAATTTGCGGCGTAGTCGGGAGATGGAGAGGAGCGTTGGGTGATCGAGCAGATGGAGCGGTATCGAGAGATCAAGAAACGAGGTTGGTGGACTTTGTGCGACAAGTCGGGAGTCGTGTAGAGAAGAAAGAATTGGATTCGAAGGCGGATCGAGGTAAGGTCGAAGGCGGGGTGGAGCAGCGTCCGTGGGAGAGTCAAGGCGACGTTGGCTTTAAAAGCAGCTAAACACCAATGACAAGCAGAAATGCGCTAGACACGGGGATGCGCGATGTTTGTGCGGCCGAACCTTTGTTGGTAAGAGCGCGCGAGTGGAGGGCGGCGATGAGTCGAGCGGATGGGAAGCGCAACCGTGGCCTTTGACACTTTTTGGGGAAAGCTCAAGTGGCAACAATGAATGAATAATGGTCGGCGGGCCGCTTCTAGGCTCCAGTAAATGACGGAAAGAATAGGTATTTGAGGGCAGAAATGAGAAGAGAGAAGAAGGAAATAAAAAAGGACCCAAGTCCAAAGTGGACTGAGACGCAGAGGGAAATTTACCGAAGCCGAAGAAAACAATTGTTTCCTGGATGCGACGATACTTGGCGAAGGTAGAGAGCGGAAAACGAGAGACGGGACGGGGAAGCCAGACGGACGACTCTCAAAGAAGCTTATCCTCGTTCAGTCGTGGTCCCGTCCTTCTCGAATGTGGCAACGTCGCTCCACTCGAGGAAAGCCACCCGGAGAGCTGCCTCAGGGACCCCTGACGCCATGCCTAAACTGGAGGGTCTCTAGTGGATAAGATAAGGAAAGAGATAAGATAAGCTTCCCCGCTGGTTGCATTCCACCGCGGCCCGGTTGTGTGTTTTGTTGACTTTGCTGCGTAGCAACGATTATCAACTACTCAGACGCGTCACCGCGTAGAGTCGTCAATCACGCCATCGCAACCACCACCGATCGCATCAATTCACCTCACACAGTCGAATTTTAACTGCACACAACGGAATACGATGTCTGCCGAACCGCAAGACGCGGTCGCAGAGGCCCTCAAGACCGACATCGAAGGCCTCAAGAAGAGAGGTAGGCTGCATGCTAATATTTGCTCGAATGGTCCCTAATTTTGTTTAAACCAGTTGCCTCCTTGAAGAAAGACCTCAAAATTCAAGCCACAGCATTGTTATCCTCCGAGTCGACCCGCAAAGCCCTCGAAGAGAAGGATAACAACCGCCACACCATCGCGCTTCCCACCCAGCCGAATCCCACTCGCGACAAGGTCGCTTGGCGATCAAAAGCCCAAGCCGCGCACGATCAGCAATGCCTCTACCGAACCTGTGCGACGATTACGACATTCAAGATCCAAGACCCCGATCCGAATGCCGTCGACCGTGGCAATGTGTTGGGAATCCGGATCGAACTCATGAGCAATGGGGCCTTCAAGCGACCGTTCTACGTCATGCTCAATCGGCCATACAAAGGCTCGCGACACCTCCGAGTTCACCGCCACACCGTGCCTGCCGCTATTCCGCTTGCCGCTCTCGCCGCGCGGTATTTGGCTCCTCCGAAAGCACCGGACGCCGAGAACCAAACGACGCAGGACCTGTCCCGTTTCGTCCGGATGCTGAGAAGAGAAATCATTAGGTATCACAACCGGGTCGAAGTCATCCGCGACTTGCAGAAGGCGGCCGTCGCTTCGCGCGGAGATCGTCCGGAGGATGCCATTGTCAGCATTGGCGCCGCAAACACCGAAGCGACGCAGATCAGCCTGGAGTGGGCGGACTCGAAAGCGGGCAGATTGGTTATGAGTGAAGATGGCCAGATCCAGAAGATTATCGTTCTCAACGGCGAGGGCCGCGATAGGGAATTTTCGAGGGAGCTCATCGGCGATAGCCGACGCGTCGAGGATGTTTTGAAGCGTCTCCCGAGTATACGAGGCTGAAAACGCAGCCAGCGTGTTGCCCATCAAGTGTTCTTACGGGACATGGTACAGATTCAGGACTTCAGCGGCGACAGAAGACGCGAGAGTCACATCACGAGCACCTGCGTGTTTCTGCAGATTGGCTGTTTCAGCCCGACAAAGCTCACGCGGATGGAGAAAACTCGTTCAGTACCGCAATCCGGAGCTGCGGGAGAAAACATTCGTTCTCGCGGACGCCAGCGCTGCAAGTCGAGCAACCGAATTCAACGGCTAGTCGAGTCAGGCGGTATATCGTCCTCGACTCATACCCGGTTCCGAGTCATCCGCGCGTGGCCCCAACGCGAACATGAGCATATTGCGCGCAATCTGCAGCCTCATGCAGAATATTCGCTAATCGCACACACAAGCTTTCGAAGCGGCTCAAACGCTAGGCTCCCACGAGTTCGGACGAAGAAGATCACGCGGGGGAGATGTATGACTGCGCCGACGTTGCAGATCCCCCAGACTCTTCAGACGAGCTTCGGCTGATCGCACTCTCGGGTGCGAGCACGGAGAATCCCGGTGCGGATATGGCATGATTCACTGTTTCAGTCTTGATAGGTGAGATCTTTCATAAGAATCTGGTCACGCATCGTCGTGCTAACCTGGTCAGTTTCTTGATTGACCCCGTTGCCTGCCGTGGTGGTTTCGTTCTGTATTTGGCAAGTCGGAAACGGGCACCGGAGGCTCATGATCTCAAGACACGCCGCGGAAACTACTCTATTCGAATCGTCTCGACTCAAAAGTATGGGAATGCAGTAGCCTGCCGATCGCTCTCACAGGGTATTGACTGGAAAATCTCTCTAACAAGCGTCGGTCAGCTGGCGTTGGTCAAGACATCTCGGAATCGCCAATGATGTACATTCGTGAATCGCCCTTACAGTCGGGAGAGAATCTCATTCATGTTCTTCGGCCAGCCTATATCTGTCGCCGGCCAGCCCACAATTTCAGGTCAATAATTTGCCAACTCTCAACAGAACGGCAGCTTCAACACAACCTTCCCAAACGTCCCCAGATCCGCGACCTTGGCAATCTCTTCCAAAGCACCCTCCGCAGGGCCATCATACACACGCACAGGCAACGCCTGGTACTCGGCACCGTAGTGCTCCAGAACCCACATCAAAGCCTCCCACATCCTCTCCTGCTCCGCCGGCCGCGCTGGGAACCTGATCAAACCCCCCTCGCGCCCGGGAATGTCGAACTCGACATCATAGTGCCGCGACCCGAGAACAACCTCAAAGCGCTCGTCCTCCTCCACGACCAAAAACACCGTCGCGAGACGGACGTCTCCGTGGTCGGGCACCGCGCCGGAGAGCAACTTCTGGGACACCCCCGGGACGCCCGCCGCGTCGAAGCCCCAGACGGGACCCGCGCCCGCGGCGGCAATGGCCGATTTGACTTTCTCCACGACCGCGTCGTCCTTGTAATCGAAGCACTCCGTAGCCCCGATCCTCTTCAGCAGCTCGTGGCGCGCGGGCGACGCCGTCGCGACGATGGTCCGAACCCCGCTGGCCCGCGCGAGCTGGATGGCCGCCATACCAACCGACGTCGACCCTCCCCAGACGACCAACGTCCCCTCCACCACCCCCTCCGCCCCCGCCTCCGACGGCAGCGGGAGACCGAAGCGGTTATACAGCGCGTCGTTGGCCGTCATGACCGCCACCGTCAACGTAGCCGCGTCGGCGTGCGGCACGTTGCCGGGCACTCTAAAGACGCTGTGTTGCGGGGGCAGGGAGATGTACGACTGGTGCGTGCCCTGCTGGAGGGGTCGGTCTTTCCCGCCCTCGGTGTAGCCCGCGACGACGTCGCCTTCGGAGAAGGGCTGGCCGGGCGCGGGGGCGCGGAGGACGCGGCCGCAGAACTCCTGGCCGAGGACGCGGCGGGTGCAGCCGAAGAAGCGCGGGGTGCGGAGGTCGGTGGGGTTGACGCCCGAGTAGAGGACCTCGATGTGGAGCTCGTCCGGCCCGGGGGCGGGGACGGGGACGGGCTCGACGACGATGGCGCCGGTTTCGTTGGCCCAGATTGCGGTGTTTTGTTTTGTGCTTGACATGGTTTAGACTTCTTGGCTTTGGACGGGATATGATGTTGATGTGTTGAATGATGACTTGTTTTCGTAATGAAGGCTATATATATACTTGCGATTTCCTGTCGCCGAAGCTCGCCGGCGCCCTTCACGTACATGTCTTCATCCCCATCATGTCGAACTGAGTTTACCAGAGCTCCGTGGACCAGACCCCCTTGACACCAAGAACTCGGCGAAAAATTACCATCTCCGAGGAGAAGACCTTGAGTTGCGGACAGAGGGATTACAAAGCGCCATGGCCAAGAGGTTCAAAAGTCCGCAACTCCGCTCCGCAGTTGTCCGTTATGATCGTCTACCCAGGTTCTAGATGTCTCAAGGCGTGAACGACGTACCAGGAGTCCGGCTCGACAGGTGTTCCCCTTGTAGACTGCGTTCAGCTCGTTCTGACGTGCTCGTGCCCATTCGTGGTGCAATAGTTTGGTTGAACTACGGAGTACAGAAGGTCGAGTTTCATAAGATGGAGCAATGTCTTCGTCTATGGAGATGTTGTGATACACCTTATGCTTAGAGGTTTGAGACCGCATGCTTTGGATAGCTCCTCGCCCCCTTCAAGAATCACTATAAGTCACTGCCGAAGGTGCTCACTCATGATGGAATGAAGTTAAAAGCCAAAGAACCCATTATATTAGCCTTAACTAATTAAGTTGGGTATCAGACGCCAGAGTTGCCCGCCCCATCCCCCTTCACGAAGGGAAGTCCCAGGGATGATGGGCCCCACTCCAACCCGTCCAAGAGAAACCCATTTGTGTGCCGTTTCCCCAAAGAAGTTATTTCCCATTTCCCGTGTACCCCCTTGATATCATGTAAAATATGTGTTAAACCCATCATGAAAAAACCATCTATATCGTCTTGAACGTGAAAACCCCTGAAAAAACAAGTGTCTATAACCGAAGAAGGAAACTTTCGAAAGGCGTTCAGATGAAGGCCGCGGCGGCGGCAACGGCGGCGATGAGGACACCGCCGGCGCGCTGGGCGTTGGGGACGGCCGCGGCGGTGACGACGGCGCGGCTGGTGGTCGCGGTGGGGTTGGGGCGGGTGACGGTGCCGACGTCGGCGGGCTTGGTGGTTGTGGCGGCGGGCGGGGTGACGGCGGGAGGGGCCGTCGAGACGGGGGGGATGACGACGGAGGAGAGCGTCGCGGGAGGGGCGGGGACGCTGGGGGCGGCGGGCTGGGTGGGCACGGCTGGGGGAGCGACGGGGACAGCGGAGGTGGGGGCGGGGTTGACCGGGACGGGGCAGATAGTCACGACGGCGGGGACGGTGACGGTCTTGTACTGGGTGCCGCCGCCGCCGCCGCCGTTGGCGGGGCAGTCGGGGACGGAGGGCGGGCAGCTGAAGATGGTGGAGACGGCGGTCTGGGTGATGGTGGAGGTGGTCCACTTCCACTCGGGGGCGGTGGTGGGCTGGGGCTGCTCCGGCTCGTCGGGGGTGTCGGGGACGTCGGTGGGCTGCTGGGGCTGGTCCTTGGTCTTGTGAGGCTTGTCGTGGTCCTTGTCCTTGCCGGGCTTGTCATGGTCCTTGTCCTTTCCGGGCTTCTTGCCCGGGTGGACCCAATGCCAGCCGTTGTCCTTGTCGCTGTCGCAGTTGTCGATGTAGACGTCCGGGTGAGGAGGGTGCCAGACGGAGATGCAGTCGTCGGAGGGGCCCTTGGAAGGACCGAAGGTCTTGATGTTGAAGTCGGCGTTGCCGCTGACGAGGCCGAGAGGCTCAATGCCGGGAGGGTAGGTGAACTTGCCGTCCCATGTGGCCTGGGCGACGGCAGCGAGGCCGACTACTGCGATGGTAGAGTAACGCATTGTGATGTGTTGTGTGTGTATATATGAAAAACCTCGAAAGGAGAGACGAGGGTTCTATGAAGGAGTGAGAGAAGACGAGAAAATGATGTTATTGAAAGTATTAGCGAATGTATGGGTATCAGAGATACTGAAGAGAGGAGGGGAAAAGAGGCTTTGGACCAGGTGAAGAGCCGCCCTTTTCAATATTTCCACCATCAACGGCGGAAGAGCAGAATGACGATGGAAGCCAGGGGAGAGCCTCTAAGCGCGCCTCCTCGAATAGACTCGTGGGGCCCAGGCTGAGTCGCCATATTGCACTAGTTCGATTCCATCATGTCATTCTTCCGCCATAGAGAGCGCTGCTATGGACTGAGGGGCCAAGAGAAGCCAGCCAGCAGGCCTCCGTTACTATCGAAGATCGCCGTGATTGGGCCATTTGCCTTCGATGCTAGTTGAGAATCAGGGGAACGATCACAAGGAACGTCCTAGATAGAGTGCGCCTGGCTAAAATTACCCTTGGATCAATTTGGGACGACAGGTACGGATACGGGAGGGCGGTCGAGCGTGAATGCCGGGGAAGGCCCGGTTCACTCCAGTAGTGAGGACCCGTCTTCTCCATATTCGGAAGGAAAAAAAGAATAAGAAAGAAGGCCGCCAGGTACCCAAGCTAAAGCCGGGGGATGGGCGCAGCCATTGTTGCGCATGGTCGTGATGCAGGGACGGAGCTGGCCCCTCGGCAGATGAAGATCCCTGTGCGGGGCCAACCAACGCTCGCGACTTGCCTGGAAGACGATCTCAGGGCGGGTGGACGATGTCACCTCGTCCGACGAGCAGGAGGTGCGCTAGACTCGAAAGTGGCGCGGTTCCTTGCAGGTGTGGTGGTGAGCTTAAAGAGACTTCGACTAAGATGGGACCGACCCCTCCGAATTGTGAGGCAGCACAGCCCATCATCCGAACATTCGAAACAACACAGGCCCCTCTCCCATGATTTTGGCCAATTTCCAAGGTCAAAGCAGCCAAGTAAAGCTGCTGTCACCCCTTTCTTTTCGCCAACTCCGAATGGAAACGAAAAAAGTCGGTTTCCTGATGGAGGGTAGGAATGATGTCAGTCGCGCTGGTGGCCTCGCGGTCCGATGGGATCGCTAGTCTGGAGGCCATATGTGGCGATGACCTCTTAGAACCAAGCGCCTAAGCGCCCGTAATTTCGCAAGACGAGCTTTTCAATGGATGTGGTGGGCAGCTTTTTCTTCTGTTGATGTGGGATATTCATGCAAAATTCTCCTTTATGCAGAAAGAAGTAATGGAAAGTTGAAGTTCATTGATTCTTTGACTAGATTCGGCAGATAGGTTTCTTCCCGCGAGAGAGGTTTGCGCCCGTCGACACGTCGAACTCGTCGAAACTATGTGGTTTCTTGTTTCCTGTCATGAGGTGACAGGCGGCATGACCACACTTCGTCTGAACATTCCCTTGGCTCAAAGGATCACCCGAAGAAGCCAACCCAGCAGTCGTCAAAAATAGGCATTTGTTGTGATGACAAGAGCCAGCAGCCATGGATGGCCGCCTCGCTTCCATAACCATTGGTGAGCGCCACACCCGTCGCGCTTGCGGCTGACCTGGAAGCCGCTACTCGCCACACCTGAGACGAGAGAGATGGCCTTGCGAGGAGCCCGTGTGTTCGACTTTTAACTCTGCTCTAGCCAGAAACGAGGGATTCCTCGTCTTCCGGGGAAATCAAATGGCCGAGTCATAATACCCGTAATATTACGGCAATTTGTTCAGCTATGGCGACTTAGCCGCACGTCCCGTTTATGCATACATAGCCATCCAAAAACAACTTACTGGAAACTGAGATGATCTGCTCGATAGTCGTGATATAGGGCCACCAGAGCGGCACTGTAGATGAGATCTCTTCCACAGAAGCCAGCTCGGCCCGAAGCCTCGTTTGCATGAGTTGATAATGTACTGCTGAATGGTGCCCGTGCTGCGGCGGCCCGCCCTTGCGAGCAGAGTAGAGTCCGGCAGAGCAGACCTCACCAGTCGAGCGCCTTCTTCGTCTGCGGAACCGCTGAGCTCGGCACCCGCTCCGGACTCGGCTGTCTCTCGTGCTCCTCAGCATCGCCGATGGCATTGAGGACGATGCCCCATCGCTCGATCTCGGCGTCTACGGCCTTTGTCCATTTCTGAACGAGGGGGTGGGCACGAGCCACGTCGGCAAAGAGAATCTCCTCATCGCCCGACTGAGGCTTCTTCTCGACCTCGAACTTCCAGGTGCCGTCGGTGTTCCAGAACTTAGCCCCGAAGATGGAATCGGGCTTGAGCTCGGCCCTGGCCTCGTCCAGAGCCCGTCTGGCCTCCTTCGCGACGGCCTCCTCCCGGCCGCCGTCCAGGGCGTTGGCGATGCCCTCGAGGAGACCAAGCAGCTGGCCGGCGAGGGACCCGATTTCGGCGCCGAGGCTGAAGCCCTCGTCGAAGCCCTCCTGGATGCTCGTGGCCTTGGCCGCGGTGACGCCCTCGCGGTAGCCGGCGGTGGTGTGTTCGGCCTGCAGCCTCGGGATATCAGAGGGATGCGCGCCTGAGGGGGCGTCCAGCTGGACGATGGTGGGCGAGCCCGGCGCCGAGCCCCAGACGTCGTCGAAGATGTCCTGGGAGTCTGCGGGGTTGAGCCGGGGGTCGGGATCCATGGAGATGGTGAACGGTTCCATTTCGGTGTTGTCGATGGGTTGGAGATGCATTTTTTGGGAATGCTCGAAATAAACTGCCAGGAGATCCTGTGGTGCGGCCTCCTCGTGGAAAATGGCCTCGGTGGCGTTTGTTTGGTGGTGAGTCGAAAAAAAGGCGCCTTGGTGAAAAATTGAAGCTTGATTTGCAAGCAAATCCCCCGCACGTATTCGCCTGAATTGCGCACTGTCTCGGCCTGCACTGAGGTGAGCTTTGATACGGTATGTGAGCGATATGAACACTGTATTCTAATTCACGCCCACCTCATGTTACTCAGCTTCACTCACTCACTTCACTTGATTCCCAAAGCGCAATCTCATTTTCGCTCAACATTTCCGTATCGATTTCATCGGTCTTCATTTCGGTGACGTTGCGCGACTCGTCAAGCGCGATATCGTTGGATTCATCATCTATTCGCGGCTAACCCATGTGCGATTCACATTGATTAGCCCCAACTGCGATGGCTTACCGTCGATGAAACAGCCACCGCACGTGAGGTGGGAGCGGTCTAAGCGACCACCAAAATTAGCAACTCACAGGACGATGAGATTGATGACGGTTTTCGTCTGACTTCCATCCAGAGTTTTCCGCGATCGACTTGTCGTCTCATCTTCGTGAATTCCCACACCAGCGGTAGCCACTCTCACCAGCTGCTTGACTTCTCCTCACCAAAGCCCATATCCATTTGCGTAGCACCAACGACGTAACGCTATGTCGATCTTTAGAATGTGATCTCCTCCTCTTCGGGAGAAGCACGTCGTCGACGACGTGTCTTCATGTCTCAACTCAGAGCCAGGCACTGACATCTGTCCCTTTGTTTGAATGTTCCCAATGTTTTGAACTATATGCCAAGTTGCATCGAGATATCTAAATATTTTTACTCATTAATATCATCCCACCTGCTTCGAAGATCATCAAGTCAAATCGATAACCTCGTGCTCCGCTTTACGCTTCGTTCCCGCGACGGGCTGAGGCAAGCCCGCGCTGCTGATGTTGGGCAAAGTTCCCTGAGGCGGGCCACCGGCATTGCCCCCTATCTGCGCAAGAGGCCCTCCGGGCGGCGGGGCGGAGAAGTGGCCGGGTCTGCCGCCGAACATCGGTCCTTGACCGGGCATCTGGTTCGGCATGGTAGGCATCGAAGACAGAGCAGGCCCGCCTCCGCCGGGGAGCCTTGGTTCTGGTACGCCTGGCGGCATGTGGATCGTCGGTGGCGGGACCGCGTTCTTCGGAGGATACACTCCGAAGCGGCCCGGGGGTGCTGTGGGAAACGGCTTGTCATTGGGGAAGTCGAACCACCCCGTAGGACCCATCGGGTGACCCGGCGGTGCCTGTCCGGGGTGCCGATTCGGGCCCAGTCCGTATGTTGAAACCGGCTGCTGCATCGGAGGCGGAGGAATATGTGATAGCCCTGCTGGGCGTGCCTGAGGCGGTGGGTTTGCCGGAGCTGCCGAATGCGCTTGAACAGGCGCCGGCATGTAAGTCACGCCGCCGCGGCCAGGAGCCAGATTCACCGGCCTATCCCACAGAAGCTGCATGATACGGGGGTAGTCGTTCCCCAACAACAGTCCCAGCTTCATCTGATCGAACTCCTGCATCTGCTCGCCGGCCTCCTCCCTTCGCGCGTTCCAGATGGCTTCGGGGTTCGGCCTCAACTTCCTCACCACCAGCGTGTCCTGGACGCCGCTTCGATCGCTCGCGTGTGAGCATTCGATCTGCCATGAGTCGATCTGCTGATGGAGATGGTGACGTCTCCTCTTGCTGACGGGAAACCTGCATTGGCGTTGGTTCGGGTCCTGGAGGAATCTATTGAGCACAAGACAGTCTTGGCAATGGCAGTTCGGCACGGTGCGATCGCTGGAGACGCCCTGCGCGGGCTTGGTGCCGACGTACGCCGCGGCGTAGGCCTCGAGGATGGCGCCGAATATTTGTTGGTAACGGGGAGTAGTGAGCGGTATGTTGTGGGACTCGAGGACGGGGATGAGTTCCTTCAGGAAGGGGATCCAGAGGGGGTGGAAGTCGTTCCATTTCATGTGCGGGGCGTGGCCCACGAGCTTCAATGCGAGGGGCATCACCAGATCATCTCGCGGGGGCGAGCTCATCTTGATCAGGTAGGAGAAGAAGTTTGCCAAGGTGTCGGGGTTGATGTCGAGGCTGCAGTCGTACTCGGCGTCTGGTCCGAGATGACCGGAGATGTGCTTGCGGTCCTTTGGTTGCATGTTCTTCTCTTCCGGCCTGTCGCCGTAGACCGTCTTGAAGTCGAGTTTAGAAATGACATCCTTGGCGAGACGTTTAAAAAGCTGGACGCCTTCTTGCACAGGAAAAACCTTGGCCTTGGTGAGCAAGAAGAGACCCTGGAGAAAGTCGAGGGCAAAGGCTGGGATGTTGAGATGATTTTCGATCAAAGGAACAGCACTGGGATGAGTTAGCTGGGCCACATGCGAGGTCGGTCGAGTATACTGACGTGGAGGTCAGCCAGGCGAAGTCGGCATATCGTCTGGCGGTGACTATGGTTTTCAGACCATCCGATCCGTGGAAATAACCACACAGGGATGAGGTTGCCAAGCCCTTGGACAGGGTGTCAAGCACCCATTCACGGACTTCGTCGGTCAAGATCGGTGAGGTGCTTGGCACAAAACACTCGATCCTGTGGAAACGCGTCGAGTATGTGCTGCAGCCGAGTATCATGGTGGTCATACTAAGATGCGAAGTCAGTCTCCGATGCTCAAAGGGTATGGAAGCACTCGGAAGAACAAACCCATGCTTGACGTCTTGAAAAGATACCTTGCCTTCCTCGACCTGCTTGCCCAGCCATTCGTAGAACTCGGAGATTATGAGGCCATGAGGTTCAGCGGCGATTTCTTTGAAGAAACCCCACTCCCTCAGCTGCACAGCGCCCTGAAGCAACTTGACCAGGTCATCATCACCTAGAGTCACTTTCGACTTCGGCTTACAGATGGTCTCATTCCAAATATCTCGCAACGCCTGGAGAGCAGAAGCTTGAGCGGGACCCGGTCTCAAAGCTGAACTCGTCAAGTAGCTGATGACTAGACGCTGGTTGGTCATCTCTCCCTTGGAAACGTACCCGTCGGAGTAGAGACGATGGTTCTTTCCCTCATCAAGGTGGGATCGGAGGAACGAAACCACCTTCACTCGTGGCACGAGCAGAACAGCCTGCGGTCATGGTGAGATATCGAGACTGGAATACCGCGTGGGATTACTTACGGTGACACGGTACCAATGAGTAGCGCTGGGGCCCTGGAGGAACTTTGTCAGTGTACACTTCAATTTCAGCGGGTCTTTTCTCCGACCTACCGAGTTCCCCATGAATCCTTGATAATCCTCCTCCTGATCACCGTCCTGAAAGAAAGTTTCGCTGTCAAGGAACCGATCCTCCTCCAGCCTAACATCTCGCAGAACAGGCCGGCCGTTCGTGCCAACGATGAATTTGGCACGCTCTTCTTCCATGAATACCTCCTGTAATTCATGCCATCCTTCATCCTCGTCGTCCCAGCCATCCTCTTCGTCCGAGTAATCATTGCGGTACCGATAGCCATTATACTTCTCGCCGTAGTACTCCACGGAGCCCTCCTCTCGGCGTTCCAGGCCGGCCAGAAAGATATCGAACTCCAGCTCGGTCGAGAGATCGTCCAGCACCTGGACCAGCTCGTGGTCTCGTCCCTTCATCGCCGCCTTGGAGATGTTCGCCTCGGAGTACTCGTGGTCGAGCCTGTAAAACACGTGGTCCGACTCGCACTCGCCCGCGCCGCCGCTGAGCCACCTCCTCAGGGTGTGCCGCAGCTTTCGAGTCTCCGTCCGCCGCAGCCCGGCGGAGGGGACCGGTTTCGACGGGTCGAGGGCGAGGTTATAGGTCAGAACGACGCGGTAACCCCACGTGACGGGACGGACCTCATGAGAGACGTCGGAATACCACGCCGCGAACGAGCCCTCTCGGTACTTGGACGTCTTGAGCGTCTTCGTCTCCCCGCAGTGCCTGGCCACGACCTCGCCGCCGTCGTGCGGGGAGGGCAGGCAGATGACGAGCGTGCCGAACATGCCTGGGATCTTCTCCGTGCTACAGCTCCATCAGCATCACTTCGTCCACCTCTGGCTCCGGACAACACATACTCGACGTGCGCTTTGAACATGGCCCCCTTTTCGTAAACGAGGAGCTTGTAAAGCTCCGCGACGATGGGCGCGTTGATGCCGAGGTCCCGCGCCACGATCGTCGTGAGCTGCCGCAGCACGGTCGTCCACGACGGGCTCCGGAGCTCGAACTGGGACGGGTCGAGCTCCCACGTATTCCTCACCGACGTGTCGACGACGGTGTCGCTGCCCTTGCCGTAGGGTGCCTGTCTCGCCTTCTCGACCAGGCCGCGCGCGTCCGCCTCTCGCAGAGGAAGAGTGACGGCGCCCACGTCCGGGACGAACAGCTGCGGGTCGAGGGGTCCCTTTAAGGGGTGGAGGGAGGCGAAGGTTCCGGGTGACTGGATGTCATTGAGGGCTTCGTTTAGGTCCTCCTCGAAGAGTTGGCGATTGTTCCAGCCTTCGGTGCTCAACGGACTCGCAGCATCGACTGCCTCTTCAGGATATTCTAGGGGCTCATCAGAGACCGGTTGTTCGGATAACTCTCCAGCAATTTGCGGTTCGCTCTGCAGCTCTGTGTTGGGCGCAACTTGAGCTGCTTGTTCCCGGGCTGCTGCGTGCTCTGGATTTTGCTCTTGGATGTCTGCGTTACTCGTCTCCGCCTGCGGAGACGTAGCCTCGGCCATCGTAGAGTCTACTTGCGAATCCATCATGATTCTCCAGCTCTCATACGCTCGTCATGAAGCCGTACCGAAAGATTGGTAGCGAGATCGATCTCCTAAAATCCCTCCCCGAGACTAGAACGCGCGACGCGTCGAGAGTTCAGGGTCGCGATAATTTCATGGAGACAATCAAGATCCCTGTCGATCCAACGGTACCGGTACATCTGGATCAAGACCGCTACGGGTAACGGATGTCTCATTCCACAACGGTGTTCAACGCCGGATCGAGTCAAGGTTCCAATAATCCAAAACTCTGAGAATGTGTTCGTTTACGACATTCGTTTACGACAATGCATGCGGGTTGAAGCAGGTGTTTGTGAGCTGGCGTAGCTCTTTCGTACCCGGTGTATGTGCGAGGTACATATAAGCTTCCTCCCCAGATTCCATCGGTACTTGATGGGACCCCACGTGGAAGTGGTGAGTGCCTTCAATCTTGTACCATTTCGATAATCCAGTACTCAACAACAGTAAACCTCGTTCTTCTTTGCCCTCCTTGGAATGTGCGTACGGGATTATTCACATCAAGAGCTCCGAAGTGTGCCGATTTGAACATCATAATAGTCCCCCACAATGCTAAGTAAAATAATCAGTCGCTCAATGATACATAAGTAAATGGCTACGTTGACGATATGAAAAACACGGAAGAACTCCGTCCACCCGTCCGTGAAATCAGTTCGTCGATCCCCTTTTCCCTCGCTCAGTCGTCCCATCATCGTGAATCATACGTCCACACTCGCAGCCCTCGACGGCCGCCCCGCCGCCCCAGACCCCAAGTCCTGCAACAGGTTCCGCAGGCTTTCGACCAAAGGCGGTAACGGCTCCGAGACGACGGGGAAGTTGTTCCTAAATATGTCCCGCGCGATGGAGAGCACAACGCTGGGGTTCGATAAGGACTCGACCCCGTCAACCGGGTTTCCGTTGAGCGTCAAGCCAGGAACCCCGCGATCGAGCTGGAGGAAGGCCCTGGTCTCCCGGTTTTCTTCCGAGTCCATGAGGATGTATCCTGACCTACCACCACCACCACCACCACCACCACCAACACCGCTGCCCATCTCAGGGTCTGAGCCGTGACGGGAAGCCGAGCAGGATAGCAACCCGTATGCCCACAGGGTGAGACAGGCGAAGTAGACCGCGAGCGCATTGAAATCTCGGAGGGAAGCAGGCGGTAATTGTCGGGCGTGGTGGAAGATCTGGCCGGCGTGCCAGATGGCGTGGCGCGCCTCCGACGTCTTGACCCAGCTCTCCTCCAGGCTGCTGTACGTCCTTCGAGCCTCGTCCTCACCCGCCTTGCCCGCGAACGTCTGGAGCACATCCGGTGACACGTGGAGGGCCATCATGAGCACCTCGGACATGATGGCGAGCTGCGCCGTCGGCCTTTTTGAGGTGAGGATCATTGTCGAGAAGTCATTGAGGTCGCGATAGAGCTCTTGGTATTGCGTCTTGAGCCACAGTCGGTGGGTTGCGTTTCTCTTGTTCGACATGCCGTCGGTGTAAAACTTGATGGCCTCGCGGTACGCCGATATTTGACCCCAGTACCCGTGGAGCAGGGCCATGTAGCAGAGCTCCATGTCGACCAGCTGTTCGAACTCGTCCAGTATCTCGGTGCAATGCATCACCTCGGAAACTCTGGGGATAGTGCGGTCCGGCGCGGCGTTTGCTTTGGCGATGTATATGTTCCTCCACTGCTCTGCTGTGCGTGCTCGCCATAAGTCGCGGGAAGCGGGAAGACTGAAGCTGAGCTCGGTGTAAGACATTAAGGGGTTCTTGCAAAAGCCGATCGATGATTGGATATCATGGAAGAACAGGTGAAGAACGAGTCGTTTGTACGATTCGCGCTTGGCGAATTTGCGCCATTTGGAGTCGAGAACGTCTGGAGGGTCTGCCATGGTGGGTATGAGCGAGGGCGAATCTGGGGGTGCCGAGAAATTCCCGGCTCTTCGCAGCATGGTCATGGGAGGTTGCAGGAAGCTTTCTGCGATCTCCATCTTTCTCTTGAAGCCACTCCAGATGCCGATGTCGAGGTTGAGCATGAACGCCTGTAAAGCCTGGAGTTCGCGGGTGAAAGAGTTGGAGCCCTCGAACTGAATGTTTGTTAGCATGAACCCAGAATCGCAGAGTCGACGACATTGAGAGGCGATAACCACTGAGGCAAACGGTGGGTAAAACAGCCAAGAGACAGTGAAGGCAAAGACAATTAAAGCAAAAACCTCATCCAATACGGCGTCTATCTTGAGAAGAACTTACCAGGTCTGCCAGTGCCAGTCGAAGAACCTCGTGGAGAGAGTATCCAAACTGCCAAACGGCGGGTATCGAAATGTAGGTAGCACCGCTAGATAGAATACCAGCGAGGAGCTCTGGTATTGCTATGGCAGCGTCAAACGTGGCCAGGTGAATCCAACTGTCGCTCTGGTGTTCATCGTGGATGAAGTGGGCTTGCACCATATAGTTCAAGAGATCCAAGGACGGAAAGGAAGGGGATCTTGTTCGTCCACCCTTCTGTACCGTACTGGCTACCACTAAAGCCAGTAGGCTGTCCCTCGCCGAGGCGGTCATCTTCAGCTTGGTCCCTGGCGTGCTGATCAACTTGTCAAAGGCGGGTGAGTTCGCCAAGTTGTTCTCGTCCAGGATGAGTCGTTCCTTGTCCTGAGGGGACGCGTGGTGTAATGCGTAGTCCTTCGGACCCGGCTCCCAGAGCCAAGGCGATCGCTTGAAGGCGGCGTGCGCTCTTGACGCGTTGCGATTTGATGTGGATTTTGATCGACTTGTCGTCGTCGACTCGGGACTCGCATTGACGTCGACTTGGGGGATAGTGATGGCGTCGAAATTCAGATCCCAGGACGAAAAGTCCATGTCTTGGAAGTAGTTATGTACGGGGTTGAAGTTGACGATGTCGTCCATGACCATATCCATGACGGGATTCGCCACGAAGTTGTCGGCCATGAACGAGGGCGGGTCGATTTCGCTGTGGCCCATGTCATGGTTTGGAGGCATCATCGCCATCCTGGACCCGTACGACGAATCCATCCCACCGCCGATATCCATACCCGCGTGTATCGAGGTTTCGGAGGGCGTTGAATGGCCCTCGTCGGTCGAGTTTCGATGATGGGTGCGTTTCGAGGGTACTTCGCAAGGCAGGTTCTTTGAGCGGCATCGAGAGCATGGTTTAACGTCCTGTAGTATCGGGGTTTGGGTCAGCGCATAGCTCTCCGAGGACGAAGACGACGAAGCCGTTATAGGCACAGACAGAGCCGCCGGCGAGGATGGGGGAGCTTACCTCGCACTTGGACTTGGAAGCAGCGCAGTTCAAACAAGCTTCTGCAGCTCGATCGCTCCGCCTGATGAAGGTTCTGCCCTTCCCGGAGGAATCCCGGTCGTGGGTTGTCTCGTGGCGGGTCAGTAGGTCGGCGCGGTTGAACCGCTTCGGACAGCGCGAACACTGGTAAGGGCGGGCATTCTCGTGGGAGCGTAGGTGCCTGGTCAGATGGTCGGCCCTCTCGTAGACTCTCTTGCAGATGTGGCAGACGTGGGTTGCGGACGCGGAGGGCGAAGCGTCGGAGACGGACAAGCTGAGTTTACGTTTGTTGTTGCTCAGCGGTTGAGGGGCCGGTTGTTTCGGGACTTCGACGGGCGGGCTGTACAGGGGATTAAGCATGTCTGAACCCGCGGCATCTATCAGAATCTCGAGACCGTTCATGATAAGTGCGGAGGTGGTCGGCCTGGACGGGCCCGATGGGGGGGATTCCAATTGATTCAATGACGGCGGAAACTCAACTGGATTGCGCGCAAAGGTCTGCGGCATCAAGGAATCAGACATTCGGGAAGTGGAGGACGGGAGGAAACTGGGCGAAAAAAGCCGGGGGAGCGGGGATTGGGAGAATCCGTGGACTCGCGCGGTACTTGTTAGAGCGTGAAGCTGGACGGGGTTGGACATGTATCTTTTTGCGGGGTTTGACTTTCCGGAGTGTGAGGTAGCGGCCATGTGTGACAACGAAGGGACCTTGAGCTGTCTTAATCGAGGAACTTTGGCGAGCTGAGGCGCAATGCGGTTCCTTGATGAAGAGGTGATTTCACCAATGAGGCGCAACGCCGTTGAGGATTATCTATCCAATGGTTGGTTGGCAGCAGAAGCTGAAGACAAACGCATGCCTTGATAGTGCATCAGCTAAGATGATCAGCCAAGGTCCCTTGAAGCCGATTGAGGTCGATGTGTGCGCACGCGACCGAGATCCTGAATCTAGCATCTCAACCATACACTCCTTCGGGCGAGCTGTGCCTCGGGCGTGGATTGCACTCTGTGACCGCGTTCGTAAATACGAAGGAGTTGAGACAGGAAGAAGCAACAACTCGAAAACGAAGTCGAAGACACAAATCATGCCATGGCCTCATCTCATTGCGACCTATGACATAGACCCTGATGGCGAGAAAAGTAGAGAAGAAGGAAGGTGTTTGCAAGAACGAATGTGGCTTATCCCGAGGCGCCTATCAGAAACATGAGGTGACACCACGACGACTCCCTTGACAAAAGCCATCGCTGTTGGCCGTCATTGATGAGTTCTTGCTTGCTCAGTAAACACAAACAGGGGCAGCACACCGTCAAGCCAAAGTGGAAGTCATACGAAGAGGCCTGCTTCCTACACTGACAAGCCTTGGCGAAACCCCAAAGAATGAGCGTCTTGTCGACCTTTTCTTCATGTTTGACAGTAAGTGCCGGGGGTGGTCCCGGAAGATAACACCAAACGCCGTCGATCGGTCCACTTCGGCCGGAACTCGAAGTGCTTGCGTTTGCTAGTACGAGCTCTTCCAGACGGGCTCCATTTTCAGAAGCTAGCAGATATGGAAACAGATTGAGCTATTTGTCAGGGCCCTGGTCACAGCTCTTACTTCACGAAAAGCTGTGCTTGGCTATGTTGAGGGGGTCCAGGTTCCGACTCAGGCGCCGCGATGGTTCACGCTTAAACCCGGTTCAGTAAGATGGGATCAGAACAACACCAAAAAGCCCTCAGAAGCAAACGCATCAGCGATGAGACCTGTCTATGGAAAGTGACAGATCAGACAGGTTCGAGATTCCTGTCACAGATGTGATGTCCCATGCATCCGCTGAGGAAGCCCGGGAAAGCACACGCAAGTCGCAGATTCCAATGAGAAAAGTACGACGACATTAGCCAATCAGAGGTATTACATGCACCTTTCTCAGTCACCCTTGACTTCGTAGCGGAAAAGAGGTCCTCTAACTGGAAATCGCTGCGACGCGGGGCAGAAGGTCACTTTCCATCTTGAGCATGGCATGGGCAAAGCAAAGCGAAGCAGAGCACAGCAGAGCAGAGCAGAGCAAACAGGCCATGATTTGCTACCGCCAGAAAAGACTGTCATCTCTCAACTTCTGCGCATTGCACCGTCAATCAAACTTTGCTTTTTTCTTCACCATTTCCCTCTCTTTTCTGCACTGCCTTTCTTCTCCAAGCCGTTCTTCCATACTGTCACAGATGCCCCCGAAACGACGGTGAACAGGCCAAGGCATCCATCATCTCACACCGGTGTTGCTAGCTCCTCTGTCGTCTTCCCCAGTCGACATTCTTCGCAGCAAACCACAAACGACACATCACAAGTTGTTGGATGTGCCCTGTTGGCCGAGTCGACAAGATGACTCGATCCTGGTATGGACAGACAGATCGTGGACTCGGGTTATTATCCGCCAACGTCAAGCACGCGGAGTTTCTCGCTGGACCATTGTCCGTTGTACCGACTCGTAGCAGTCGATTCCCACACGCACGTCCAACCCATCCGCCTCGTCATATATGACGATGCAAGCTACTTATGGCGCGAGACAGCGTGCCCACAAGTATTCGCATCCTCTTTTCGACTCAGGCATTGCCATCCCTCGGCAAAAGGAGTCAGAGCCCTGCAATTCATCGGAGCCCCGTCCGTTCGTCGAGCTACTCAGCGCCATCCCCGAGGGCCAAGACGTGGATGCCGCAAGATGATGAGCCTGGACATGGCACTGGGCCCGGATCTGATTGATGGATCTCCCCATCTCTCCCAGTCCCAGGCTGTTCCATCTGTACCAAACAAGCGTCTGGTTCCTGTGGAGAGCGGTCGCAGGACATCGACCCGCGCATCCTGCAGGCCGTTGCGTGTAACGACCAGGCTACCACGTCGCTCCAGCTGTGTGTGTCAGTGGAACCACGGGCTCGGGACCGATTGGGTTGATAGGGGGAACCATCGCCGAATCCGCCGTGTAAGTCATGAATAGCGCACACGGGTCGAGGTTTCGAGAGACATCGCCGCGGTTTGTTTCGGAGCCGCAATAGAGCGTCACCTCCCCCGTTGAGGACGGTGGTGTCTCCGTCACTGCTCCCACTGCTCCCACCGCGACTGGAACCTGAGAACTGGGCTTCGAGACGGCTTGTCACCAATGCCTGCAAGTCCGTCTGCAACTCGCAACCTTGTGTGTGGAATCTGGGTCTAAAGGGATCCGCCAGATGCCAGGTTTCTTCGCAAGCAAAGCTGTAATCGTTGCTTTTCCTTGTCCTCGTCGTCCTCGTCTCTTTCCCCTTTCTCGACCACGATACAACCCCGATCTCGACCACCGCACACACCTCAGGGGCGCGCCTCCCACCACGCAGCCCGCAGCCATTGCAATCGAACCCATCTCCAGCGGCGTGCGCAGCTCTGCTCCCCGTAGCCCAATCGAGCAGTGCCGGTGATATCCCCGAGCAGAGGCACCACCTCCGTGTTCTAACCGGCAATGTGGTGATCGGAGCCATTCGATTTGTTCCGACTCCATGTCGACTGCACCTCGGTCTGCAGCGGCGGGCAAGGATGCTCGAATCGAAATCGGGGGGGGGATACGATCTCGACTGCTTACACGGGATATCACTCACTCGACGTTATCAAACCAAAGCAGCATGGTCATTCAGAACGGAGAAGAATCCATACGTGTCTAATTGAACCAAGCAAGTTACGTATGTCTATCATTACAATTCCTAATTCCATGATCCGAGTCCCTTTTTGGTCGCCATGTCGTTCTAACCCCTCCATCTTCTTCCAGTCTTCTCCCACCCGTTCGCTCCTCGTCTCCAATCGCGCAAACCCGATCTGAAAATCGGCAACACATGGCTCGTTAACATTACAGGGCCGGTACCCAGAACGGCCCACCCAGAGGGATCTTCCAACCCCCCCCTTTTTTTTTTTTTTTTTAAAACCGTGCCCTCGCAAAAAATGAAGGAAAAAAGTGATGAAAATGGACCGGACCTCGTAGTCGAACAGACAAACCCCTCGTTTCCCCCCTTCCCACACATCCGTGAATGCTTTTGACCTCGTGTGTCGCCGTTCGCCGTTTGTCCCAGGGTATCGTTACAGTTTTTTGGTGGCCTGTCCGCATCGCGTCGCATTTCCCAGCTGATGAATGACTGAGACTCCTTTTCGGGGGATTTCTTTTTGGGGGAAGATGGATCTTGCTTCCGATGGTCAGCCTCACCGCCACAGATCTGGGAATGACGTGGGGAGCAACACTCACATGAGCTGATGGCTTAGCCGCAGGGCGTTCCGCAGTAGCCGCACTCTTTTCCGGGTAGTACCCACACCTCTTTACCTGCGGCATTGCACGTAGGGCAGCGAATGCCTGGGAGGAGATGCTACGACGAAAAGGTTAATCTTGGATTCCGACCCATGGCTTTTGTGGCTGTGGAGCGCAGCTGTTCTCGCTCACCTGTTTCGGGGACGTCGACGACGGCTGCTGGTTGTTTCTGAGGGAGGCCTTGTCCGCCTGGCATTGCGTCGAGCAAGTCATGTTGGCTGAGTTTGTGTATGTGTGTTGAAGGTGACTGTGGGAGATATGTCGAAGCTGGTGGTGTTATTGGTTTGAGAGTCCGGACTCTTGTTGGTTTTGGGCGTTGTTGGTGATATTCAGCGAGAGGGGTGTAAGTGTAAGTGAGTTGAATGGCTTCGAGGCAGAATGGTTTTGTCTTCGAGGTCTGATGATGAAGTTGATTCGATGGTGATCTGAACAAAGAAGGCAAGAAACCCAAGGCGGCACCCGTCGATACTTATAGTTTGGGAAGCCCGTTTCTCTCTCCTTTGAACCTCGCACGAACAAGGACAAAGCCACTTGGGTAGGTAGGTAGCCGCGGGCAAGGACCAGGCCGGGTCAGGTCCAGGTCAGGTATTGGGGCGTGTAGGTGTGTGAGAGAGAGAGCGAGGAAGAGACAGACTGACTGACAGACATGAGAGAGAGAAGTGTGTGCGTGTGTTCCATGTCCCTGCCCTTCTTCGTGCTGCTAGTGCAAAGAAGAAAACATGGCGACGTGCCATCTGATAATAGTTTCGGCGAGCAACCGGCGGAAGGCCAGCAGCAGCAGCAGCAGCGGCGGCAGCAACGAAAAAAGATACACCAGGGCAGGTAAAAGAAACAAAAATCCCCGTAGGCCGAAGGGCCGGTACAGTGCAGATGCAGATGCAGACGGTCCTTCCTGTCTGCTGGCTCGGTGCGGCACTAGCGAGAGACCTAACTAACTAACAACCCGGGAAAGGCGTGTCAGTGGCAGCAGCTAGGTAGCCAGCAGACGGCGATGAACGATGGTGGCGCGAACCAGGTTACCAGGATAGGCATGGGACAAGGATGAATGGACGATTGGGATGGGGATGGGGATGGGGGAGTGTGTATCCCGGGATTCAATCATTCATTCACTTCTCACT